GAGATTAAATTCAGAATTCTGAGAATGAAATCTGAGATTAAATTCAGAATTCTGAGAAAAAAATCTGAGATTAAATTCAGAATTCTGAGAATGAAATCTGAGATTAAATTCAGAATTCTGAGAAAAAAATCTGAGATTAAATTCAGAATTCTGAGAATGAAATCTGAGATTAAATTCAGAATTCTGAGAAAAAAATCTGAGATTAAATTCAGAATTCTGAGAATGAAATCTGAGATTAAATTCAGAATTCTGAGAAAAAAATCTGAGATTAAATTCAGAATTCTGAGAATGAAATCTGAGATTAAAGCCAGAATTCTGACATCTGCCAATTCAGAGCAAAGCGTCAGAACTCAGGATTGTGTTTTAATCTGAGGCCCTCCTCTTCTGTACACATGTTTTGTGAGGACTGAAACAAACCTAACATGTTTAAGACTGTGGGAGAAAAGACAGATTGTCCAAAGTGGGATTCAAACCCAGGACCTTCTTGCTGTGAGGCATCATCACTAACCACTGATCCATCGTGCAGCACAATGTAATCAGAAATCTTCATTAGTTTTTTAGTTTTTTGTTTCTTTTTATGATATTTATTGTGGAACTGGACAAAGAGAGTTTTTCTCATAAGTCGACCTCTGAAGCTGTCTGGTGAAGTTCTGGTCCCTGTGATGAACTTCAGTCCATTAATCACTTCATCTTCTAGGTCTTTGTTCCTTTAGCTGAGCGGCTGGTGAGAGAGCAGGACAGACAGAAACACTAACCACAGACACGTCACATGTGTCACTTTGTAACGAGTCCAACAGCAGCTGGACTCTAATAATCCCTGCTGCTGTTACATTCAGGACTGTGGCTCAATGAGACCAGTGAGAACCTTCAACACAACAAGAACTGGTTCCATACTGAGCTGGACCAGTAAAAGCTACAGATCTAACTCAGAGTCTGAGTCCAGCTGCCTCACCTGCAGCAGGTCCACCTGAGTCTCACCGTCAGAAGAAAGGGGACGGGGGGCTCATGTAGAGCGCCTGAGGCTCGGATGTGGCCGGGGAGAAGGTGGAGAGGGACGTCAGCGTGGAGGTGGGGAAGGGGGACGGAGGAGGAGGAGGGGGGAGGCAGGAGGAGAAGGCTCGTCCACTGCAGGACAGGACACTGGGACTGCTGTCAGACGGGGACATGGCGAGTGGGGACGAGGTCCTGCTGAGAGGATCACTGCTCAGGGCCGACAGATCTGGAGGAGGGGCAGAGATGAGCTCGTTAAGGTTTGATTAATTAACTAAATGTTTTTTCTCTTATTGAACCACAGTCCTGACAGGTGCAGACATCTCTCCTGAAGCTCTGACAGACTGGTTCTGATTGGCTCTGACAGACTGGTTCTGATTGGCTCTGACAGACTGGTTCTGATTGGCTCTGACAGACTCTGGTTCTGATTGGCTCTGACAGACTGGTTCTGATTGGCTCTGACAGACTGGTTCTGATTGGCTCTGACAGACTGGTTCTGACTGGCTCTGACAGACTGGTTCTGATTGGTTT